CTGAGGTGGCACAATCTCAGCCGTTAATTGTGGCTTCATCAACTACCAAGCCATCCCAGAGCATCACCATTAATCATCACCCAAAAGATGACGACAAGAAGATCAGAGGGACGGTGCTGGTGATGAAGAATAATGTTTTGGAGCTCAACTCAGTTTCAGCGTGAAAACCAGCAAAAAACGTAGCAGATGCCGGTAGTGATTGTGAAGATCCTCATGCCGAGACGACGACAAGGGGCCGGGTAGGCAGGAACCATTATCGAGTTTGGAGCAGGATGTCGGATCCATTGGCGGGTTGAAGAGAGAAAGCTAAGCAGGACATGGTGGGATCGGATCATGAGGTATTGTAGAGAGAGATACTCACTGTACGCAGAAAGAAAAAAAAAAAGTGTTAGTGGAATTGTAAACAATTCCACAAAGAAGTGGAAGACTATTCTGCACCTAAAAAGAAATGGAGGGCACGACAAAAGAAAAAGAAAATGGAGGAAAGGAATAAAGAAAGAAAAAGGTGTTAGTGGAATTGTAAACAATTCCACAAAGAAGTGGAAGACACGGCAAAAGAAAAAGAAAATGGATGTCTGGAGAAAAAACAGAAACAAAAGCAAAAGGAAAAGAGAAAAGCAAAAGATTTTTCTATTATTATGATTCTTTATGTCTGCCAGAGACAGAGAGAGTGCAGAAGAAAAATACTGCAAAAGTAAGGAATAAACACCCCACCAGAATGATGTAATTTATTTTCCTTATCTTTCGGAAACATATGTATAAACCCCATCAGAGGGTACAAAAAAAAAAAAAAAAAAAAAAAGGGCAAAGCCCAAAATAAATGGGTTGGAATGTTGCGTGGAGGGCAAAGGCCCATAAGCCCAAAATAGCACCAACCCGGTGACTAAAATTACATCCAGTACTACAAAAATTATTCGGCACCCTGCCGCTACTACCACCAACTAGGTGATCAAAAGTACACCCAGTATTCCAAATTATACATGAGCATTACTCATGTCATTCATACATAAACATTCATGAGCATCACTCATGACAATCATACATAAACATTCATGACCATCATTCATGTCAACATTCATGAGCATCACTCATGACAACATTCATGAGCATCACTCATGTTAACATTCATGAGCATCACTCATGACAACATTCATGAGCATCACTCATGTCAATCAACATAAACATTCATGAGCATCACTCATGTCAATCAACTTCAAAAGCTTCATTTACAGAGCTCTACCTTCAAAAGCTTCATTTATAAAAGCTCCAGCTTCGAAAGCTTCATTTACAGAGCTCTAGCTTCAAAGCTTCACTTGCAAAGCTTCACCTACAAAGCTTCAGTGCAGGGTATACAAATACCGCCTCCGAACAACCGCCACTTCGGCCCATACATGGATTCAATTTGAAGTCTCCAACCAACAGACTCTATTGACCGAAGACTTGGGGGACTACATTATGTACCATATATTGGGCCTCAACTGGGCCTCATAAAAAATACTTGGGGGACTTAACCCATTACTTATGTATTGAGGAGCGAGCCCTTATTCTATAAAAGGGACTCCCTCACTTTCATTATAGAGCACCCATTATTCATGTACTGAGGAGCGAACCCTTATTTTATAAAAGGGACTCCCTCACCACCATTAGAGAGCATCGCCGCCTACTGAGCAACCATCTCGCCGTGAGCATCAACTCTAGTCCATCACTTATGTATTGAGGAGCGAACCTTTATTCTATAAAAGGGACCCCCTCACCTTCAAACACCACAAGCCGAGCCAACCAAGGTAACATAAGCCACGAGCCGAGCAGCGTGTGCTACTTCTAGTTGATCGTCATTTCAGATTGAGCACTGCCTCATATCGAGCATCAGTTCAAAACAACATTTAGTTACTTCGGCCCACACATGGACTGAATTTCAAGTCTCCAGCCAAAAGACTCTCTTGACTGAAGACTTGGGGGACTACTGTTTATACCATATTTAGGGCCTCGTATTTAGACCTCGTATAAATACTCAGATGACTTAAATGTAATTATGTGATAAAGGAATGGGCAAATATGTAATAAGTGAGGAGTCCTTATTCTATAAAAGGACCCCTCACCCTCACAATTAGGGGAGGCTCATTCTCACCCTCAGATGCCATTTCTGAAGCTTCTCTCAACGCTCTCACTCTTAGAGTTCTCTCTCTCCCTCACTTCTCAGAGAAATATAATACAATCAGTGTGGACGTAGCCCAAACCTTGGGGTGAACCACGATAACTCTTGTGTCATTTACATTACTTGCAGATTCACGGTCGGATTTACGTTGTTCCAAGACCATCCGGTTTTGTGCATCAACAGGGTGTATTCATAAAATAATTTCTATTATAAAATTTATGGGGCCTAAATAGTTATTTTATATTAGAACGTATAAATTATTTAAGATTTTTTAGCCAAAATGGTCCATGAGATTTGCATAACACATCACTTTGGTCTATGAGATTTGAAATCAATAGAAGTGGTCCATGAGATAATGAAATCATTTTAGTCATTTTATGAAAAAATTATGTTAAATAAGGGCCAAAGTAAAATGGTATCCTTGGTAGATGAATTATCTGGTTTCTGATGGGTAGTTTTAGGATAAAAGTAATTAGCCTTTTGATGATATTGTAAAGCTTTTGGGTTAATGGAACATTGCTACGTTGCACTAGAGTATGTTGTTCAATGTGGATTCAAATTTCACTCTTATTTTCTTTTAATTAAATTACATTTGTCTATGGTAATTAAGGGTGGGTTCAAAAAATCGAAAATTAAAAAGAAAAAAAATAGAACCGAAAAAGAAAAAATCGAACCGAATCAGATCCCTTTACACTTTATGAATGTATGCCCATTTTTGTGAAACTTTGTTGCCAAGTTTGAAATTAAGCCTATGGCTTTTTCAAGAAGCATACTTCGTTCAATTAGGGAGGATATTTCATTGGTTATAGAGGAAAGTTTTGGAAGGCTTTAAAACTTGAAAAAGCTTCTCTATTTGTTTGCTTTTTGAATGGATAAGGTGATTGTTTTTCTTTGCAATTGAGGTTGTTGATAGCATAGGATTGGTTTATATGATCTTGTATATGTACAACCAAGGTATAAAATATCGATGATATCGGAAATATTGGTAGTCCAAAAACACGGAAATATCGATGGAAATATCGAGATATTATCGATATGGATAAAAATTGAATAAAAACCACGAAAATTGTAAGAAAAACTTGGAAATTTTTATTGAAACTTTGGAGAATGTTTATTTAGTCAACTATCTATTAGTTTATCAAAAGAACTAGAAGGAAATGCATTACATGATGAATTTAACTGATTTAAGTTGATTATACAGCGAGCTGGCAAACACTGTGAGTGTAGAAAATATGTAGTAATTAATGAAAAAAAGATTAAACACACCATAATCATTTATATATAATTATTTACTACAATATTTTACATTTTATACATTGCATGTGCAAAAGAAATTGTCAAAGATTCATTGTCATGTGCAAATTTGTTTCTTGCAAAAAGAATTCAAAACAAAACCATATATATAAATATTTTAGCATATTTTCACAAAAACATAAGTGATATGATGGTTAAGGTGTTGAAGGAGTAAAGTGGAAGGGGTTCGAAGACCCTTGGTGTTATTTTAGCATATTTTCATTGTCATATGCAAATTTGGGGTTTATTTTATCTCGCGAGATAAACCCCAAATAATGTAGTAAAATCATGGTCTAAAATATCTCGATATTTCCATTGAAATTTATGTGTTTTTTGACTACCGATATTTTTTTGGACTACCGATATTTCCGATATTATCGATATTTTAGACCTTGCTAAGTCACTCATGTATCTTACTATGCAATGTATAAAGTGTAAAATATTGTACTAATTAATTATATATAAATGATTATAGTTTGTTTAAACTTCTTTCATAATTACTACATATTTTCTACACTCACAATGTTTGCCAGCTTACTATATAATCAACTTAAATTAGTTAAATCCATCATGCAATGCATTTCCTTATAATTTTTTGTGATAAACTAATAGATAATTGACTAAATAAACATCATGCAAAGTTTCAATAAAAATTTCCAAGTTTTACTTACAATTTTCGTGGTTTTTATTTAATTTTTATCGATATCGATAATATCCCGAAATTTCCATCGAAATTTCCGTGTTTTGGACTACCGATATTTCCGATATTATCGATATTTTATACCTTGAGTAAAATCATTGAAAATATCGTATCTCAATATTATCATGATAATATCGATATTTTAATGATATATTAATGGATAGTGTATAAAGTATCGCGATATGAAAAAAATCGTCGATATTATCGTTTTTTTCGTCCTTGTGTACAACTACCCACTTTCCCATTTTTCCCATTTTCATATTATTAATCTACCAATATAAGCCTATTAATTTCATGTTAAAAAATGATCAAATTTTATAAAATAAAAAAAAATCAAAATCGTACCGAATAAAACCAAACAAAAGAAAACTGAACTGAAAAAATCGAAAGAAAATTGAACCAAACCGAACCGAATCGAAATTTTGATTCGGTTTCAGTTTTGACAAAAAACCGAACCGAATAAAACCGACCTCACGCTTAGTAGTAATGGGGAAGAAGATGAACATATCAATTTTATTTTATTTTTAAATTTTAATTCTACAAAAATAAAAATTATTATTTTTATTATTTAAATATTTTATCTTTGTGTCAATATTTAATTAGATTTGTGAGATTGCCACATCAGCACATAACATAATTTTTGATAAAATTATAATAGAAACATTATATTGATTTGCAATATTTATTTTCAAGGACTAGTTGATCGATTTTCAATTTCTTGATGAATGAGTTCATATCATAAACTATTTATTTACCATAAAAACTGCCCTATAAAAAATTTTCTTACTTACATCTGTACAAGTTTGACTTTGACTTATTTCATCAGAATTATCGAAACCAAATGAATTGAAGACAATAAAAAAACACAAATTAATAGGAAAATATGTGTGTGAATAACGGACTTGAATAAAAGTCTACTTTGGATCAACTCGTGCTCAGCTCAGCTTCCTTGGCTTCAACTAGTATTTCCATGGCGGAACGCGGATCGGACGCTCAGGGTCGTCGATTAGGTCAGATTTCCAACCTTTAATTACCCTTAATTATCTGGAACTTAAATTCCTGCTCGATCAGTTTCTGATTGGTTTGATTTCGTTCGTGTATGCAGACTTTCGGCAATTACTGGTTGAGGCCCAGCACCGATGGCTGCGCCCTGCCGAAATCTGTGAAATTCTTAGCAATTTTCACAAGTTCCATATTTCACCAGAGCCTCCGAACAAACCACGTAGTACGGTTATTTGTTTATTGACTTTGTAATTAATTAACAATATATGTGTTTTTTTTCTTTCAATTTTATGTTTTGCTCATGTTTGCTTCTGCAAAGTTACATGTTATTTCCTCCTAATTGGTTTATATAAAAAAAATAAAATTTCCAGTTTGTTAGGGTTTTAACAGATCAGCTATCTCCAGACTCGGGTTTAGCCAAGTTGGCTTAAAAAACGTAGTTCAGTTTAAATTAGATTAGATTAGAATGAATATTCAGTGCCCCCTGATGTCTCGGGATATCGTTTTTGTATGTTTTCTGTCGAACCTTTTGATCATGTTAGGCAAACTCACTAGCTCTTTCTGTACATAAAACGTGGTTACGGGTTGTTGTGTCAGTTGTAGTATTTACACACAGAACATTCTGGTGTGCAACTTTTTCTGCCATGCCAGGCGGTTCGCTTTATCTTTTTGACAGGAAGGTTCTGAGATACTTTAGAAAGGATGGACATAACTGGAGGAAGAAACGAGACGGCAAGACTGTGAAGGAGGCCCATGAGAAGCTAAAGGTATCTGGAGTTTGTGTGTTTGTAATAAATTTCCTCTTAAAGACGATACTTTTTCCGTATGTACTGAAAGAATGCTCATGTATAATTGGACCCAAACTTTTTTCTTTATCGGATGTTTTCTGAAGAGAAATATTAAAATCATCTTCATTAAACTCAACAAAGAGTTACTGGAGTCTGCGAGGTAACACTCTTCAGTTTATTTCAGGTTGGCAGTGTAGATGTTCTACACTGCTACTATGCCCATGGAGAAGATGATGAAAATTTTCAAAGGCGCTGCTATTGGCTGCTCGAGCAGTAAGTCTGAGTTAGATACGTTTATTTATTTAAATGTGTTCTACGTTTTGGTATAACATTTTGTATTTCACAGTTGACTGTTCATGCCTTTCCATAAAGCTCCAAATTTATCTGGTTATATTTCTTTTTGGAATGCATAAATATGGTTAGGTTTTGTACAGTTTTCTGCCTTTTAAAACTTTTCTTTTCTGTTTTCACGGTTTCTGTTTTTAATTTTATGTACTTGTTCAATTTGCAGGGATTTGATGCACATAGTTTTTGTTCATTACTTGCAAGTAAAGGTATTACTGTTCTCCTCCTTGTTTTTTTATCTACTTTTCATGTCCTTTATTGTTTCTGTTATGTAGACCAACTTTCCTCCACTTAAAAGTACTTGCTCATGCTAGTCTCTCGAGTCTTTCTATTTCCTAACAGTTAATCTAAGGAATTAATAGCAGGGTTGCAACTTTACTTAATGTAAAAATAATCTTCTCGTCAAATATCGAAGTTCCAATCACTAGTTGCCAAACTTGCCACAATTTCCCTTCATTGACCTCTCCTTAAAGCATAAAATGTTGATTGAGCCACATTATTTTGGACGTAATCCTATATATATATATATGTGTATTTTTTTAATGTTTTTTTAGTTTTCTCAAATCTCTCTCTCTCTACTGGTGTGAATTAACGTAAAACGTGCCCTAGTCCCTGCTCACCATTTTTAATAAGCCAAGGCTCAGGTACTAAAATCAAATTGATATAGTAATTTTGGAAGATCTGGAACAGTACAGAGTGGCTTAGAAAAAATAACCAAACGGACTCCCTAGGTTGATTTGGAATGGCATTAGGGGTGAGTGACATGATCTAAAATTCCAAATAGCAGCAATTGTTGTAATCTTCACATTGTCAAGAAAGTAAGAAATTACAATAGGAGTGAAACTGCATGAAATATTCATCTGAAGGATAGGTTTATAGAAATAGAGGAAGTGTACAAAAGAAAAAGGTACAAGGAATGAGAGGAGGGCCTGTAGTTTCACAATTGCGGTTTGCATGATAAAATGCCTTGCGCAGTTCAGATATTTGACCTTTGCCACGTACTTTCTCAACTTTGCGATTTTGTGTTGGTAAGACATTGGGTGTAAGTTTTGTCAGAGTCAAGATTCAAGTTTGTCTAAGTTTCTCAACCCAGATTATCTCCGCTATGCATACTTCTTTTTTTATTGTTGCCGCTTTCTTCTGAATTTTTTTATGCATAAAATATATTTGTTTGTGATTTACCTTTTGGTTATTTTGTTATTAGGGTAATAGGGCAAATGTAGGAGGCATTATAGAGAATGATGAGGTTACACCGGATCTGAAAAGGGGCAGCCCCTGGACTTCTAGCCCTTCTAATAGTAATGGCAGAACACCTTCAGGATATACAGATCATGCAAGCCCAAGCAGCACTTCGACATCAGCATGTGAAGATGTTGATTCCGGTATTCTGTTTCTCTGACTTTGTTAAAAGAGGTCATCTTTTACTTGTCGGGTTTTCTCTTATTTTGGGTCGAGAACTTTTTGTCTTCATTTGAGACAAATTGATTTGCACACTTCTTAAATTTGCACTAGAATTTTCATTTAACATGTGAGTTGATGCAGGAGATAGTCGCCAAGCGAGTTCCTTATTTCACTCAGTTTTTGAGTCACCAAAAATGGGGAATGGTCCTCTCATGGACAACGCAGAGATTGATCCCTCACTGCATCCAAGTTCAAGTAATCTTCTTTCTTTCTTATTTTTTTTTGCCGCAGGGTTGGGGGAAAAGATCTTACTTGTTTATTATTCCTTGTTTGAATTGCTTCGTCCAGTAGCCTCTTATGTGGTGTAACACGGTGATTTGATTTTACAATCTTACCAGACAATCATGATGGCCAGTCATCAATTCATGGAGTCTACAGGCCACAATTTGAGAATGATCAACATTGTTTCAGTGCTGACTCTACTGGTGTGATTGATTGTCAAAAAACACTTGGCGCGGTATCCTGGGAAGAAATTTTGGAACAATGCACCACAGGATTCCACACCGGAACTTCTCATGCATCAATGTCTACCACCCAAATTGGTTCTGGTGAAGTTCCTGTTGAACAACAAATTTTAGGGAATAGTTTTTTAAAGGAGGAGTTTGGGAGTTCTATGCCATTTCAAACAAATTGGCAGGTATTTAATAGCTTCTGTGGTTTTTTTGATCTGCGGTAGGCATGCTCCTTAGCTGTATATCATTTGGGCTTATTGATACAGATAATTGCTGAAATGAGGTGCAATGCTTCTTCCATGTGTATGTCCTGGGTTTTAATGTTTTGCTGAACTGCAGCACTTTCACTACTTAAGTTGTGTATTAATATCCAAAACAGCGAGGTATTGAATTTTATAAGGTCCAAACAATACTATAAGTATATGGTAATAACATGGTGTATCAACAAAGAGCATCTCAGCTTGGTAACTGACTGCCCAACAGTTTGGATTTCATTTTTTGATTTGTGTGATTTCATTTCATGGATTCTCTCATTTGCTACATATATTTATTTGTCACCTTTTGTATGTTATAAAACAGAACAGATTTCTCAAATTAAGAAATATGAATTACATTAGTTTTCTAATTCTTATATTCTTTATCCAGCTTCCTTTGGGAGACAATTCACTGCAGTTGCCTGAGTGTTCCCTGGACCAGTCAACGAATTTGCAAAGAACTCTTGATGCGAATCTGAGAAATACTCCTGACCTTGTTAGTGCTCATCTCAATCAGCGAAATGAGCAGCTTGTGCAGGACGACCTTCAAGCACAGCTTACAAATGCAGAATCTGAATGTTTAATCATATCAAGTTCTGAGCATGATGTTCCTAAAGATGGGAATGTCAACTATGCTTTCACTTTGAGACAGCAATTATTAGATCGAGAAGACGGTTTGAAGAAAGTTGACAGCTTTTCTAGGTGGGTTTCCAAGGAACTCGAAGAGGTAGATGATCTGCAGATGCAATCTTCATCTGGTATTCCATGGAGCACGGCTGAATATGGAGATGTAGTTGATGATTCCTCGTTGAGCCCCTCCGTCTCCCAGGACCAGCTTTTCAGCATAGTTGATTTTTCACCAAAGTGGGCGTATACAGACTCTGAAATTGAGGTACAAAATTGTGAACCATATAATCATACACCTTAAAGAAGAAAAATTAAAACATAGGGAAGAAAAATAGTAACTTGTATCTTAGACTGAGTTTCTTTCACGTAAATACATCTTGTCAGAAGCTCACTAGAATTTGTTCTTAATGATTGTTTTTGCGCCAAATAATTTCTCGTTGATGAAAATGTATTTTATAACATGCCATTGTTTCATAAGCTTGATTACTCTGAACAAGTCTGTAACTATTAGCTAGACTTTTGTACGTTGTGCTTAGAACTTCTTGCAATACTAACATATTCCACTTACGGAGAAGAAAAGAAAGATGCCTACAATTTAATTTCCATTATTTTTATACTTGAGATTTTTGACATATTTTGGTTTTGCTTCTCCTCTGTCTCCATTTAAACTGATTGGTTAATCAATTTTGCTGTTATATTTATTCTTCGGTATCTGTTTTGCAACTCAATTTCAATAATTAGGGCTACTGAATATGTTGACATGTCTATTGCAGGTCAGATGGTTGTCGTTTATTTGTATATGTGCTCGATTTATTAGTTGTCATCTCATTCTTCTTAACGTGAAACAGGTTCTGGTTTTCGGAACATTCTTGGTAAGTCAAAAGGAGGTAACAAAATACAGCTGGTCTTGTATGTTCGGGGAGGTGGAGGTTCCAGCACAGGTTTTAGCCAGTGGAGTTCTTTTCTGTTTTGCTCCACCTCACAGTGCCGGGCAAGTCCCTTTCTATGTAACCTGTTCCAACAGGTTAGCTTGTAGTGAAGTAAGGGAGTTCAATTATCAAGTGGGCTCCACTAAAGGTTTTGATATGACAGATATAGGCGATGGTGCTGCACATGAAATGCATCTTCACTTACGTCTTGAGAGTTTACTGTCTCTGAGACCTTTAAGCCCTTCAGGTCAACCATTTGGAGGTGTTAAGGAGAATCGAAACCTAATTAGTAAAATCATATCACTCCAGGAGGAAGAGGATTATTTAGCAGAGCCAACAGTAGTGAATTATTTGCTCCAAAATGAAGGGATGGAACATCTTATAAAGCTGATGAAAGAGAAGTTGTACACATGGCTCCTTTATAAAGCAATAGAAGATGGTAAAGGACCAAGTGTATTAGATGCTGAGGGACAAGGTGTCCTACATTTAGCAGCTGCCCTTGGCTACGATTGGGCCATAAAACCCACTGTAACTGCGGGAGTTAGCATCAATTTTCGTGATGTTAATGGATGGACTGCCCTTCATTGGGCTGCATTCTGTGGCAGGCAAGGACATCAGAACCCTTTTCATTTTATTCTAGTCTAGCTTCTGTTGAATCTGCTCTACCTTTGTTGTATACTATGGGACTTGGCTTGTACTCTTTCCTCGGAGCCCATTAAAGCATCCCAAGTTTGTTTTACAACAACTTTTGCAATGCTAGATCTCATCTAAAATATGTGAGGTGGAGTGCTCTGCCACTAGTTAACTAGTGATCTTACAGTAACAAATGTCTAAAATTGCTTTTAACCAGCATCTTAAGCTCTAAGCTATATATGTCATTTAGATTTCACCATTATAAATTTCTTGCAAATTTCCAACACCACTCACATTTTACTCTTTTGTTTTTGCTTTCTTGAACCTATGCCAAATTCAGAGAGCATACAGTTGCAGTCCTTGTATCTCTTGGTGCAGATCCGGGAGCACTGACTGATCCGTCTCCAGAGGTTCCTTTGGGTAGAACACCGGCGGATCTGGCATCTGTTAGCAGTCACAAAGGAATCTCAGGCTTCCTTGCTGAGTCTTCCCTGACCACTTACCTTAAATCCCTTACAATGAACGATGCAAAGGAAGATGGTGCTGCAGAAATATCTGGAACAAAAGTTGTCAAAACTTTTTCAGAGCGGATAGCTACACCTGTGAGTTACGGTGATATGCCCGATGCACTGTCACTGAAGGACTCACTTACTGCTATAACTAATGCTACCCAAGCTGCTGATCGGATACAGCAAATGCTCAGGATGCAGTCATTTGAGAGGAGACGGTTAACTGAGTATGACAGTGATGAGTTCGGAATGCCGGATGAGCGAGCAATTTCATTCATAACTTCCAAATCACACAAGGGACCGATCAACAGAAATGCTCATACTGCTGCAGTTCAGATACAGAAAAAGTTTCGTGGTTGGAAAAAGAGAAAAGAATTCTTGATAATTCGTCAGAGAATTGTTAAAATCCAGGTCCGTTGCAACTTTTTGACTGTTGATTATTATTTATTATCATTTTCAACTTATCATTATATACTATCATCATTAAAAAGAAAAAGAAAAAAAACAATCTTATCATGGATAGCCTCTACTGGTGCCTCTAATTTTGGGTCACTAATGATCCATATAGAGCTCTCTATAAAAGTACTTTACCATCTGTTTCACATACAAAAATTCTACTTTTAGTTTTCTTAGACAAATGATGGAAAGGGTTGTAGACTTGTTAATTTTTGGACCACTTTTAAGAGTTCAGGGTTTGACTAGATTGCGGTCTGAATCTCCGCTTTTATTAACTATTTGATTTCAAGCGGAATCCTAATTGTATATTTTCCTCCATTTCCCATGCTGTTAACTTTTGCAGCAGTTCTGTGAATTTTTTTTATATGAACTTTCGAAAAACCCTCTTAATTTTCTGGGTATTGCTTCTCTGAAAGATTTGACCACGGAAGTGAATGTTAATTTCCCATTTTTCATTTTATGAAGGCCCATGTAAGGGGACACCAGGTAAGGAAACAATACAAGGCAATCACCTGGTCAGTTGGAATTCTGGAGAAAGTTATTTTGCGTTGGAGACGTAAGGGGACTGGTTTACGAGGATTCCGACCAGATGCAGTTGCCAAGATTCCGGACCCCCAAACTGTGGCCTCAAGTGAGGATGATTATGATTTTCTCAAGAAAGGAAGAAAACAAACAGAGGAAAGATTACAAAAAGCACTTACCAGGGTAAAGTCTATGGTTCAATATCCAGAAGGAAGAGCTCAATACCGTAGACTGCTAAATGTTGTTGAAGGATTCGGTGAAACAAAGGTATTGATGGATCTTAACTTGTGCATTTCGCTTTCATATTATTATGTAAATTACTGTAGAACCGAATTTTTGATTGCGCTTCATTTTGGCTTTAGTTAGTTTACTCGTGTACTTGCTAATCCCCCATGATGGATTTAGTTTAGTGATACTATGTTATGATTCTCTTGCTAATGTTTTCACTTCTTGTCGATCATTAGTACCCACCAATTAACATGGTTGTATCGCTAGTTAACATGTTTTTTTTTGGTTCAGTTTTCTTATATTCTTGCAGATATTTTACTTTTCTACTTTGCAGTGTCTGAATCTGTTATAGAAAAACATGTTCATCTCCACGATGCTTATTGGACGTCGCTGTGTCATTTCTATTAGATGATTAATGGAACCGTTAGGCGATACTAAATAACAATAACGCACCCCACTTCGATAACACGTTTTGCATGTTTTGGACTAACGGCAGGTAAATGACATGGCTGTCGAGGTATCAGAAGAAAAGGCTGAGGGTGGTGATGAAAAGGCCGAGGGTGGCGATGATCTAATTGATATCGACAAGTTGTTGGATGATGACACTTTCATGTCTATAGCATTTGATTGAGCCGACTCTGAGTTGCTTGACCTGTACATTATACATGACTGGCATCCTTATCCTGGTTTGGAGATCCTGGTTCATCTGTGCATATGTTTGATGAATTTAAGGAATTGTATACGATATCCCGCATTCTGCAGGAGCGCGCCGGAGTGTAGTCGGGACATCTGAAATGTACTCCGGCTTACAGAATTTTAATGTGGTTGTAATTTCATGTATGTTTTTTTACCCTAGTGGAGGTAAATGTTTAGGTAAATGTGTAGTTTGTATACTGGTTCAATTTGTTTAGGAAAACATGTCTAGATTGATTTTCTATGTTGCATAAGACTTTGTAGTCACTAATTTATTTATGACCCGAAAATCTTTGCATAACTAAGCTCGGCAGATGAACTCATGCACCCAGATGAACTCATTCATCCATTGAAATCTAGTACCCAATCATCGTAGATATGTATATGCATCGGTGCGGCTGGATTCTACTAGCATTGTGCATCTCCAAAGATTCTAGGTTGAACTGAACGCGAGAGAGTTTATCACTAGACTAAGAACTAGTTGGTTTAAACGTACCGACATTCCATAGATACCGTTCCCGTTGCTAGAAAAAAGAATATACAGGAGAGATATTAAGTAAAGAATATACATGTATAATTGAACCGAAGCAGGTCACAGAATCATCCAACAAATTCATTTTCAATATTGGCTCAAAAGGCAAATGGAGCTTTCAACTTATGGGTTGGTATTGATCAGAAACACGCCTCGGGGGCAGCTTTCGGAGGATGAAAAGCACCAAAGCCGATGGAACAATCTCCGCCGACTGCCAACAGAAGTGAAAGTAATTTACATCATAAATAAAAGCGCTTATATAACAAGCAGTCAAAAACACAAGTTGTCCATTGAGGTTTCGGTCCTTCCTGTTCACAAGTTCAGGATTTAAAACTTGCCATGTAATAAACAAGGTTGAGGATGGGATGACCAATGACATCGACATCTGCATCTTTGTCAAATGCAGAAACCGCGAGCTGCAATACAATCACGAAAGAAGCCCTCAGAACTCAATAACTTTGCTGCTTACATGTGCTTCGCAATTGAAAGGGACTTACCACAATGCATCTTATCAAGAAACATGTGCAGCAAATGCCTGTGACCCATCCAACCTGCCACGTAAATAAGTTAGGCACCGTGCCTCCTTGCACAAATTGCAACAATTGCGCTTGAAAACTACCAGTAAGAGTACATCTCATATCTTCGGTTCGTTGAAGGCCATATAGAAAATGAGCGAAATATAAGCACAAACCTCCTCTAGCTTTTTTTGACGTCCTCTTGACTCAATGGGGAAGTGCCTTAGCATGATAAACAACCTAAAGTCATAAACACGTCAAAGTAAACACTTGTTTTTATTAAAAGAAGAATAAAAAATACGAAAAACTCGGGTGCTTTCCCTGAGCTGACAAAAGTGCTTGCCTTCCACCATATATCAAGAATCCCAGAGCAGTACAGAATGAAATAACTGCAAACAAAACGAACATCAACGTATATAGTTTTAGTTATTCTGTCTGCATAACTGTTTATCTTGCAAATGTCACTATCGACTTCATGCGCTGACTAGGGATAATAATTGCCTACAGCAATGAACTTAGTATTCAAACTGCATAGATTGTGACAAGCACTTGAAATTAGAGGAAATAAATTAACCAAAGGCAAACAATTAATATATAGTATCGACTTTTACCTGAAAAGAAGAGTCTAGCAACTTCTACGGCAACAGGACTTCTGCTTAACCACAACAAAATCCAAATGCACACCTATCATCATAACACAATGACCAGGAAACAGTGATGCTCGCAGTGGAGTAGCAAATTAAAATTAATCCGACATTGCAAGCGTCTAACCATTTTCAACTGGAAAAACCTCATTTTGAGTTACCTGTGTGAAGTATACAAAACCGTTTATAACATAATATGCAGGTCTAAGTTTATCTGTCGGAAGACTTCTGGCCTGAAAAAATCATAAAACGAATTAGATGATAGTAATTAACAATGAACAATGATTATTTCACATTGGATCCAAAGGCAAAGAAACGTTGGTATATGTACCTGGTGATAGATCTCAGCCCAAAATAAGACAAGTAACGTATACGTGGAAAAAAATAGAAGTCCAGGAAGATCCATAAAAAGCAGCATTTCAAGAGCCTAGGAAACATTTAGGCAGTGTAATCAGAAGATGTTATATATTAAGATAATGCAAATCATCAGAACAAATTGATATTAGGGATCAAAAGTTATGATAAATCGAACTCCGCTTTCAAATCTAAGAAATGCTGATGTATGACTCATGAAGAGTAGAATACATGATGCATGCTACTGGAGAACAAAACCAAGGCTATTGAAGGCTCGTTATCATGCACTTCTAATTGAACTGCTCCACCAACAAAGGAACCTGGTCAAGCCCGAAGCCTACTTTCACAGTGTGGGAGAAACAAAAACTTATACATGCTTTGTCAATGCACTCACCATACAAGAGAGAAAAACTAAACAACGCCGTACTTAGTTGAAAATGTGGGAGAGCAATCACAATATACATGAGATTTTCTTACAAGTATTATATACCATCTTAATACTGCTTGTACAACTCTTCAGTATTCGTATTCTGATGACTCGAGAAGCTATGTTTTATCTTTTATTGCTCAACTCTTTTTGGAGTGTAGTCTACATGCTAATATAAATTAATCTACTTATACAAGGTTGAAGGTTCATATTTCACCGGTCAAAAGGGAAACTCTACACGAAGTCGAAAAGATTTTCCAACATACTTAATTGATGAACCCTAAGCATTTTCAAGTATATCTTCCGGGTTCCACCCTAAAACCAATAAGCACTCGCAAAGTTTCTTAACTCTTTGAGGTGAGACAATTTTCACATCCTCGTGAGTCACGAGTGTTTACCTAAAATATGAACAATTGTTACTTAAACTGTTAAACATCATACACTCGTCCACTGCCTCTAGGGTTCAAACCGTCACCCCTCTCCTTAGTGTAGAGATTAGCATAGAATACCGATTGTACTTACATCATAGTACACTCACCAAAAACACATTTATTAATCCTAGAACAGGACAACGTTTATGTGTGCGTGTGCGTAAACATAAAAAATTGAGGAGTGCAAATCAAATATGCCATAGTATCATACCTTAGGTTTAATAAGGAAGACAGCCTTGTAGACACCAAATAGGAGAGCCCTCACTGCCCAAATGCATTTTCTTTTCAGAAAAAAAACAGAAGCTTATCCAATGAATGAACACCAAAAAATAAAAATAAAAATAAACTAAAAGCTTACATCCATTCACTAGAAAGTTCATCAAATGGAAAACCTTTTGTATCGTCCACCCATATTCTGGCACTCTTAACTGAATGCGCCCAAGTTGTACCTGCAAATCACTTTTTTTTTATTATGATTCGAGCACACTGCTATAGTCAACTTGACTACCTTAAACGAGATTGATTTAAATTTTCCATCTATAATAACGAAAAAACGATAGAAATGAGAATAATAATGTTTTTAATTGTACCAGTGCAACAAGGGAAACCAATCCATAAGAAGCACACAAGATATAGTAAGTGCTGCTGCTGCCGCCGCCGCTACTCTCCCATTGTTTCTGATCCTGATTCCACCAATCATATGAGCCTCCGCCACCGCCCCCGCCACCGCTGTAATTAAACACCAAGCCCTTCCTGCTTATCATGATCACCACCACCACCACCTCTCAATTCTCTCAAACAAAACAAACAAACTATGTCGTCTTCTTTTTTGCTATCCACAGAGGAAACTAATTAGTTAGGAAAACGATTTCTGTTTGGAGAAGCAGAGAAACTTGGCAAGATGACGGAGCCAAGGGAACTGACACGTGGAGAAAGGAGAACTAGGACACGTAGCTGGACTAGACCACGTGCGGGTCTGCCATGTTCATCGATTGCGCAAAGGACTCATCCTCAATGGATCGGATATGAATTTTAAGTGAGTGCATTTGCCATTTGATCTGCATGCATTTGATAGCATCTTCACCAACCAAATAATCCAACGGCCTCCCATACACCACATCACTACCAGCATGGGATTCCTATGCTGGTGAATAGTCCACAATCTTACGGTCAAATGTGCTGGATTGACATACAACGATCATATATGGTCGTCAAAATAATTGCACTGCCTACTTGTAAATATCGTAGCTAAATTTAAATCAGTAATGCTATACTTATTATGTTTTTATATCATACTTATATACCAACTTATGTGGCATTTAATATGGACAATCACATCAATTAAATTAATAGAATTTAATTTAAATTAAAAATCATATAATAAACCAATAATTAAAAAAATCTGGAATTAAATAATGATTGTGGCATACGAGCCTTCCTTTCCCATTCAATCATGCTTCTTCTCCCGTTTCTTCTTCCACAACAATTCTTTCATGCCATTTTTTTCAGGTTGTTAAATCCACCACAATCTAAATTAAATCTCATACGGTAAGGTTCATACGCTACCCTATTTGGATTATTGGTACGCATCTATCATTTTTTTCAATGAATTTAATTTTTTTAGTCTGTTTATTTCTTCTTCTCTCTCAATCTCCATTGTGTAGCAAGATAAATTCTTCTTTGGGTCTTGATCAGAGTTGATGTTAGTGGTGTCGTGATGAAGGGGTGGAGATTTCCTGACAACACGTACCTGAGATTCCTTTAATTTGATTATAGGTTCATGAATTAGAGGTTATATGTTCTTGCTTGAACTTTATATTGTATGCTCACAATCGCAAGAAATATGATTATATGAAGTGCATGTAAGCTAGAGAAAGACCAGTCGCTTTGAAAGAAAAAAGAAAAAAGAAAAAGAATGGGAAACTGTAAAAATTACAAGTCTAGTTCCATGTGTTTAGTGGTTACATTTTGTGGTTTGATTACTGTTTATTATGTTTTTTTTATGAATGCCAAGATGGATCGGAGAAGAATTTCATCTGCAACATTACCATGTATGTACTACGTTTCTTTATATTGTGGGGATATTCTTCATCCAAGCTTGTTTATTTGTATCATTTGATAACATTAATGTTTCTGCAAACAGAAACTGAAGCCTTTGGCGAGCACAACAAATCCTTCTTGTGGCCGTCGGAGATAATAGAGATGATGAAAAACAAACAAGAGTAAGAACCAGAACATGGTCGAGTCCATATGGTAGAAACCAGGTTATATTCCTGAGATGACGAGCTCAACCATTGTGTCTTCCTAACTATCCCAAGTACAAACCAATTTATATTCCTGAGATGGAGTCCATATAGTAGGAACAAGAAGGAGTCCTTAATGACTCAAGAGTGTTAAACCTAGTTTCTTTGGAATTTTTGAATGGTTATTTCAAAATGCAAGTATACTTTTTCAATTGTTACGATGGGTTTCATTGAATAGACAATTAGCTGATTCTTGATTACATAGTAAAGAGTTCATATAACCGTTTATCGTTGACTTACATTTTTCGTTTACGAATTGTTGTAAGAGAAGTGGCGTCCAGTTTATATAACCGTGTATCATTGACTTACATTTATCATTAATGTTCTCTTCCTACTCTTTAATTCTCAGAATTCAATTCGTATCAATTTTGTTGCAAATGGAAACATGAGACTGTTTAAGGTCCTTGAATTGTAAGCACAATGTAAATGACTCCGGTTTCAGTACAACAAGAATTAAAAGAGTAACACGTTTGCATACTGGTTACTGTTACAAAATATTTGAAATGCATTGAAATCCATGTTTAGAAGAAATAGGATCCACATCCACAAAAACTCAAACTACAAAAAGAAATTTCTTTCATTTTTGCTTCCATTGCTTAGTTGAGCTCTTGGTCGTCGTTTCCTCTTGAAGTAGAGTCATGCATATTTTACATACTATAACCTCCATTCCAGTATTGAAATTGTTGACCCTAAATAAAGAGAAAAAAAAAAAACATAAGAACTATAGATGGAGCATTATACTATGTGATGTAAATAAATATTTTATTAATAACAATAAAAGATTTATATATAACCTCTTAATATTTACCTGAATATAATTTCCATGCATAGTAGGATAAGTTATATTTCCAATCTCAAACTCTTTGTACAACGGATGACCACCTTGATTGAGTTCCAATAACAAAGTCATGTTTTCCTACAATATGTAATATTTGTTCAATAGCTAACACAAAAGCAATTAAAAATCACTATCAATAGGATAAAATGCACAACTTACATTAGTATGGGGAAAAATAGGATATTGGTTGGCAGGCATGCAAATTTGACCACCTTGTGCAAGATGAGAATGCTAAATCCCAAAGAATGAAAGTAATTACAATTACAAAGAGTAAGTATGGTTATAATTGTAACTACAATGACAATGATTATCAACTAAGAAAAAAGATAACAAGAAAAGATTAATATATTTATCGCATACCTTCACAATGACATTACTCTCTTGTGTTGCAACTATGTTATCACTTCTACAAGGAGGTAAACCATCAATATGGCATATTGCATCACTTTCTACGGATTTCTACAAAAGTTGCAAGTGAAACATATTATGATTTATCAACTTATTAGTTACATAAAACAAATATGTTTGTTACCTGTGTTCCTTCCTCATTTGTATTGTCCTTATGAGATGTAATCTTTTTCTGTCGTTTTTGTCTTCTTTTGATTACTTGCTCAGTCTTGGATTGTTTCCTTTTAGATGGTGGACGACCTTTATCTCTAGCCGACAATGGCGTAAGTATACGCTGACTTGGGTTGGAGAGGATCAGAGTTAATAGCAACAGGTGATTGTGGTGTGCTACTAGCCGCTCCATCATGACACGTCCCGACCCCGATATTCCCCGAATATCAGGATCGGTACGTGCTGGCAGACACTTGAGGTGACGAAAGCCATTTATTAAAATACAAGAGAAATGATTAGGAGAAACACGCATGATTAAACATCTGAATCCAAAGGGAGTTACAAACAAAGTTTAGGGAAATATCTAGAGTACGCAAAACACGTTCGAAGTCAAGATCACAAAAGGAAAGATCATTACAAATATTACACAAGTGGAAGATAGACTGCTACTGGTAGGGGAATGCCTCGTATGATGCCTCGTAGTCCTCGTTCCTAAGACCTGAATGGGGGTGCAAAACAAGGGTGAGTGGACCAAGTTTATATACATACATAATACTAAAACCGTTATGAACATACTAACCCCCATAGTTGAGATAATGAAAACTACTAAATAATAAGTGATAGGTTTCTCAAAACCTCTAGCATGCCAAAAATAATTCATATAACTATCTGCAAATCAAACTCATATCAGAACTCATATCAGAAATCATATCAGAAAGCATATCAGGAATCATATCAAGAAGCATAACACAAGTTGTGCTGCTAGTGAGTGCACTGAATAACAATACTCCCGGCCCAATGCCTGCACCTCAGTCTCTGTGCCTATAGCCAGAGATATCTCCCCCCTGGCCCAATGCCTGTCTCCGTGTCCCTCAGCCTTTCGCTAGGGAATATTTCTCCTGGCCTCAATGCCAACACCAGATCCTTGCCCCAGGCAGCATAGTGTTCACTAGGTACGCACAAAACATAATTCATCTCTAAAATACAACTTCATAGCATAAATTCATCGATCCTCTATACTACGAAGAGGTGTTCAAAAGTCATTTGAAACACATTCTTAGCATCCTATCGTCATCGATCAGATAGTCTACCAGAATGAGGGTGTAGACATCGAAATTTCAGTAAATAAATGTTGACCGATAAATCAAAGTTTCAACGCTCATGTATTACATAAATTTTACACGTAGCGTGTGTCTAAACAAAAAATCGAAATAGTTGGAAAAGTCATCAAACATGACACATGTCAACACCTGGCAGAAGCGACTTATTTCATCTGGGATATTATATTCAAAATTAGGCCTTGGAAATTTCTATAAATAGAAGGCTAATTCATTCATTTGAGGGGAACCAAAATCATTAGGCAAAATTCTTGAAGCTCTGAAGCTCTGAAACTCCGAAGCTCTCAAGCATCCAGGTTCCCGAAGAATCAAGAAAGCGTTCTTCGTTCTTCGTTCATCGTTCTTCCAAGATCAAGCCCCGACGACCCTTGGATTAACAATCACCAATTTAAGATCAAGCCCCGACGGCCCTTGAAGAAAGTGTTCTTCGTTCTTCGTTCATCGTTCTTCCAAGATCAAGCCCCAACGGCCCTTTGGATCAACAATCATCCACCAATTCAAGATCAAGCCCCAAAGGCCCCTTGAAGAACTTCCACCAATTCAAGATCAAGCCCCGATGGCCCTTGAAGAAAGCACCATCGTTCATCATCCGTTCATCTTAAGATCAAGCCCCAACGGCCCTTTGGATCAACAACGTTGACAAATCCACACATCCAACCGTTCTTCAAGATTAAGCCCAAAAGCCCTTGAAGACCTGTTCATCACTGTTCTTTAAGATCAAGCCCAAAAGCCCTTGAAGATCCGCTCATCACCGTTATTCAAGATCAAGCCTCAACGGCCCTTGAAGAAACACTCATCCTCAAGATCAAGCCCCAACGGCTCCTTGAAGATTCGCTCAAATCCACCTTCAAAGATCAAGCCCACGGCCCTTGAAGAAACTTCCAACAGTTCATCCAAAATCAAGCCTCGACGGCCCTTGGATCAACGAAACATCCATAAATCAACACCTTACGGAGATCGAATCAGAGGATCGAAATAGAGAGAGATTGTAACCCCAAATCATCAAATAC